GCCACATGAGAGGGCGCATTTAGGGGCCGTGTTTAATATATGATGAACCGATACCATTAGCAAACATGCGAATGTAGCGAGCGATAGTGTCAGTGCACACTCACAAGCATCTGCGCAACGAGGTCATATGTCAATTCATTCGATGGGTTTGTTCTGCGCTTGGAAAGGCCAAAGAAATAGGGTTTGTGGGAGAACGGTTCAAAGGTTTGGGTATCAGGGTTCTGAACCCTGTTTCGACAAACCCTACTTCCTTGACATTCCAAGCGCAGAACCAGCCGTTCGAATGAATTGACATTTGACCTCGTTGCTCAGTGGCTTGTGAGTGTGCATTGACACCATCGCTCGCTACATTCGCATGTTTTGCTACACCGTTTTGAGCCCTGCTTCCGCAAACCTCACTTCCTTAAATTCCAATATATTCCAATCGCCGAGCAAACCGTTCGAATGAATTGACGTATGACCTCGTTGCTCAGTTGCTTGTGACTGTGCATTGACACCATCGCCGCTACATGCGCATGGCTGCATTAGATGGAGGCTCCTAGCTGCGAGAAAGCCGTGCACGAAAGCTAGTAGGTCGTGGCTACTGCACAAATCAAGAGTTTTTCAGACAGGACAAGGAAAGGCATAGGGGCCTATGGCTTGAGAGATAGGGCCAGTCGCGATCGGGATAGGGGGCTATGGAAAATCGATAGGGGCCTATGCTGCATAGTCGGCCTATATCTATAGGGGTCTATGCAAATCCGGTAGAGGTCTATCTATAGGGGCCTACAGGAATGCGACCAGGGACTATAGGTAGGGGTCCGTGGATGCTTTGGGAGGTAGGCGGACCAGGGGGCTATGGAAAAACCATAGGGGTCTATCGACGCCTATGGTAGGCGGCTACTTACCAGACCCATGTTCGAAAATAACAAGGTTTTCAGCGTGGGCCTGCAATCACCGAGAACAAGTACCTGCCAGCCTCAACTTCCAAGCCCTAGACCCTGCAGACCCTAGAATCGTGAAACCCCGCCACACAGACACACATGACTCAATGTGTCGCCACGTCTCATTTCACATGAGGAACTCAAGTCATGATTGTTGGTCGAGCTCACGTCCCTGTTGTTCCAGATGACGAATGGTTTTACAATGTCACCATGTACAGCAGATGCTAAATCTACGTAGAGTTTCGTGGCTTAGCCTCTTGCCATGTCAGATGAAGGTACACTCAACTGGCCAAGTTCTGCTTCCCGTGAACTCAAGTAGCTTCGTTGGACGTGGTCCTTGAGCTCATGCCACATACCCCTGCTCTGCACAAACACTTGCAGCCTTGCAGCAATCCGGCAAAGTAAACCTTTGCCGATTTGAAAGTTAGCGAACACACTTGGAAACAGAGCTTGACACACACACACACACAAACAAGACGAAACAACTTTCACCAAAAGCACCAAGTGGTATGCCGCAATACCGATCTACATCTGCGAGCCTCTTGCAAAGCACCCCTCTGCTGGATACGACGCTAGCCAACACCCTCAAGGCTCGAAGGTCACCCACACAGATGCCATTTCGGGTACACAAACCTGGTCGTTGCCGAAACTGCTTCTCAACTAGGACTAGGGCCAGGGCAAACGTCAGCGAAGGGCTTCATTGCCACCACCCAAAACAATAGGCAGGACTGTGCGTTTCGCAAAAGTGCAACCTGTGGGATGGAAAGTAAAGATGTTAACACGTGCATTGCTTGTCACAAACAAGAACAAGCCCTGCGACATCTTGCGACCACGTATGGCACGCGTCCACACACACGCACAGACGCACAGACGCACAGACGCACAGACGCACACACACACACACACACACAAGCGCCCACGCGAAGGCCCAAACAGACGAGGCTGAAGGACATGTGCAACGACACAGACTTGGCACTCATCCAAGTAGGTCTAAGCAGGTTTCGTTGCTGCGGATGTCGAAGCCGATTTTCGCGACCTCGTTCCAACTTTGACATCGATAACACGCTGCCGAAAAAGTTCAAGCACTGACAGGTTGGTGAAAGGAATGGTCGCACCAACATCACGACGTCTGGCACGTTAAGCGCCAGAGGCGACATCGCAGTCAGCAGGCTACGTGGCTACATATTCGATACTGAGGCCAACTCCCAGTCAGGCGAGAACATCTTTTTTGCATGCACGCCCCTTTGCACTGGCGCTCAGAACAACGTCACTCTATCTCCACAGACCCGACGCATGCACACCGTTTCTTTTACAGATCAATGGTCGGCACAGTTCGCACAAACAGAACAGGGTGCAAGTTCTCAGTGACGTGATTGGTGATTCATTGGCAAGCCGACGACCTCCTTCAAAGCGAAATGATGTGATTCGCGGTGTCCTGCCTGTAACGGAGCGACTCTGGTACATTAGCAATAACCGAGCCTGTTGACTCATGTCACCGCTCCTCCAAATTGAAGATGAATGCGGTTCTCTCGGTTTCTGCTGACTCGATCTGGAGGAACAATGATGTCCATCCGGATGATGTGTGGAGACCACGTGAGGCCTGCTTCAAAGGCCTTGCTTTTCATCTTGATTTGAAATGGATATGAGTGTCAGCACTGCCAGCATGAGTCAGCATGAACTGAAAGCTGATCTCTGGCATGCTAATTAAGGAACACACATGAAATCAATCATTCAAGGCAAGCATATCCAATTTATCACTTTCTCATTTGCACATCCAACTCACGCAAGCTCAGTCAACTGCAATAGCAACCGGTTGCGTGGCTGGAATTGGGGAACACCATGCTGAATCTGTTCTTTCGGTGCCAACAGGTCGGGTATGAGATTATGCAGACAGTTACGGGATCCTTTGTTGTTGTTGTTGTTGAAACAGTCCATGGATGGCTGCTTCTCCGGCAACGGAATCTGGACGACAACACCGAGCTGACTTTGTGAAATCCCATGAATCGCCGTTTCTTCTGTCCTGGTTTGAGCAAGCCAGATCATCTCTCTTGTTGTGCCCATCGTTGCAACAGCGCGGGACAGTCCATCGCTGAGTTGAGCATGACGCTATCCGAACTGAAGATCACAAGGGCAAGTGCAAAATTGTCTGCGTCACTCACGTCACCGCTCCCAAGCATGTATGACCTCAGGTGCCACACTGCAGAGGTTCACATGCACTCTTTTGACTCTGAGACGCAGTTCCGTACACAAGTCATGCTATTAGGTAGCCGTAAGCAAACGGATCATGAAGAAAGCGTCACGCTGCACGTTCCACCGATGATCCTCTTGAGCGACCGAACGACTTTTTGAAAGCAACATCGACCTGGACGTGTGCTTGCAACTGATGGGACCCGGGACCGTCCTCATGGCTACACGTCGATTCAGTGTGCCCTAAAGATGCCACAGCAGTTCCACAGTTGCGATACTGAATCCTTGCTGCTCGTTGGAGGGGGCCGCGATGATGGGGGTGTAATCCCAGAAGAGGAGTTCGGACGTAGCGGGGCAGGGGGGAAAGGGAGGGTGTGATCCAGACTGGAACCGGCATGAGTAAGTGCAGGTGCATGGAATCATCCCTCGATCGCGGGGCTCCTGGAGTTTGCGCCGCACTTTGACACACCGGTCTTCGAACACCGGGCCACGCGTTCCTCAAATTTGGGAATTCCTTTCCCAGTGCATTCTTAATCGTGCGGATCCATGCTTTTGCAAGGCAGTCTCTGCAACGCTGCCAATTCATACATCAGGAGCTGCTTGCGTTCCTGTGAAGGCGGGCCGGAGTGGAAGGGAGCCACTGTTTCCAGCTGACTTCTGCGGTGTCACTGCAATCCCTGGATTGGAAAGCTGCTCAGACGTTTTGCCAGCTCTTCGGGCATCTCGAGAAACTTCAGTAGTGAAGGCATCGGCTGCAATGGCATCAAAATTAAACTTTGCGTCGCAGATAGCTTTGGCAAGTTGAGCACAAAATACTGGTTCCGGCACTGACGCAGTCGGCACGACCGAGAAAAACCTGCCATGACTAAGTGCACGAAGCCGCCAGGCTGAGATTCCATCCTATGAAAGCTCATGACTGGGATGCTGAACCTGCTAAGTACATCACGACCTGCCAAATCTCTCTTACAGCTCCAAGCAGACCTCAAAACATGGGCCACTGTGCTGAGCGCGGAAGTGACGGGGCAGGATTGGAAAACGGGGCAGTAGGTGGATTGCTTTGGCAGACGGGGCGGGATGCTGGCCACGCTTTGAAATCATGAATCATAGGGCTGACACTGGGTTAACCCCAGTTTTACACTGCTTTCCCACGTGCTGAACTGGGTCCATACAAGCCCCCATCTCGAGCTGCCCCACGACATGATGTCCAAGAAAATGCAGAAAAAATAAACAAGCAGCACGCACAAAAAGACATCTAAGGCTAGAATCTAAGGCTTGATCACGAATGAAAGCAACCCTACCGCGCACAAACCTAGCAAGACATGAAGCATGTACGGTGTTTGGATGCACAACCAGTCGCACAGCAAAGCTGCCGGGGATCCACCCCTTTGGAACAGAGTGCACTCGGGCACACCATCTGACTCAGCTGCCTATGGCAGTCAATCATCGGCGGCAGCCCACATACAGGGCGGGCGGGCGGGTGCAAAGTGAAGAGAGCAGCTCAAAACCAAACACATGCAGCCAAGCGAAGCTGCACACTGAGGCATGCAAGTGATTCGGTTCCTGCGCTACATAGGGTTTGTGCCACGCGCTGGCCTTAAACCCACCCCACCCCAGCGCGACCCGTCCAACCCTACCGCGCACAAACCTAGCAAGACATGAAGCATGTACGGTGTTTGGATGCACAACCAGTCGCACAGCAAAGCTGCCGGGGATCCACCCCAAAGCAGCGCCGCACCCAAACACCGTCGGGGTGCCCCTGCACACTTCACCAAACTTCAGCGCACACGACGGCTGCAGTGCAGAAGTGCACACACTACGCTGACAACGACCAGCCAAGCAACATCAAGCATCACGCGGCCCTACACTGTGGCCCAGTCTTGGCGGCCCTGTCTAATTAGACTCTCTGGTCTCCCTCCAATCCAGGGACCTGCGCGACTGCATGGATAATCTTTGCCAGAACTCTGGGTACGCAGCAGCCCCACGAGAAAGCATGTCGGCCCACTCATTCCGGGCACCAGCCACGTGAGAGACCCGCAAGTTGATGCGTTCTCGCATGCAAAAAACAGCAGCCGCCTGCAGGACTGCGGCCACTGGCTCCTTCATGGAGAACCCCTTGGCTGCGGCGCCCACAACACCAAGGTTGTCACACCGCTGTCGCACAACGACACGGCCTGAGTTTGTCACCAGTCACCAGACCATCCTGTCTCTGAAGCACGAGCCGGATGAGTTGCGCCAGGGCCTCTAAAGCGCAAATAATCGACTGTACGCTTCCAGGCTGACCATTCTGATGCTGCGGTCGAAACCAATCAAGAAGGTCCGACACCTGCACCTTGAAGGAGAACCAGCGGAGCTGGTCGACCTCAAGCGGGCTACCAGCAGGCAGCCACCAGCCACCCAATCCTGCTTCATGCTCGCTTGCACAAGCATCTGCAGCTGCCACGACAGCCTTCTGCTCAAGCTCAACCAAGTGGACCGGCGCCCTAGGTTCGATGAGGCGCAGGAAGAAACCGGCCACTTGTTTCTCTTCGGCACATGGCTTCACAGAGTCGCAGGCCCAATCACCAAACTTCAGCCAAGTGTGCAGTTCGACATTTGGGCGCTCCGCCACGTCTGTCTCACGACTCACGCCACACCCCGGAAGGTGGGATGGTGCGAAGAATGCCAGTGGGCACTCCTTCGCTGAGCAGAGAAGGCAACTGTTGATCCACATCCCCACACAGGGAAAACAAGCCCTCCCACAGCTCCAGAGCTAAGGGCTGGCCAGGCTCGACAACTGCCGAACACTTCAAGCCACGACTTTTCAGAAAAGATACCAGCACTTCACGAAGTATGTGTATCTCCTCGTCACTTAGCCATGCTTCCTTGGAGCGTTCAGCAACTGCTTTCAATAGCCGTGGTACCAAATGCCAATCATGAATCAAACGTAGCCATTCAACACGCAAAGCCGACAATACATCCGTATCCTCACGCGGGGAGCCCCAATCTGCATCGGAGCCAACGCCACCACCATCACGCAACCTCCACAGAAATGCAGGAGCGGTTTCGGCACGAACAGCAGGTGGCTCTGCTGCAGCAACGGCAGCAACAGGTTCTGGCGACGCAAAAGCCAAAGCCGTAGCGCTTAGCAGCGATTGGTTCTGATCCGACAACACAGCAGCGCAATCCATATCAGCAACCGACACCAAATCGGATGATCACTGCACACGCTTGCCCTGGTCGCACTCGCCAGTGTGGTGAGTCTTGGCTCCGCACTTCGCACACTCATGCTTGAATTTGCAGGATGGATTCGTGCATCGTCCTTCACGCCAGCCCCAGCATTCACCATTGCGCGGCCGCTTGTCCTTGTCCGCCTTGTCTAGACGTGGCTTGCCTCCTTGGAAAGGGGCTGGGCGTTTCAGGGGCGGCCTCGAGGAAGGCTTCTCCACAAGCAAAAATGACGCAACAGGTCACGGTCAACCGACACATGATTTAGGTCATCGTCCAAGTCATGACCGCCAAAGCATAGCCCAAACGCCTCCTCGATGGCTACCCTGTCTGCTGCCTCCGCCTCTTGAACTGAGGGAGGTCGAAAACCCTCGGAGGGGCGTTTGCAATAGTAGCCCATAAATTTCTTCACGTGCTGTATACGTTCCAATGGCCGAGGTGGCCGGCGCCGCACATAACATAAGCAAGGGCTCGAGTCTCTAGTAGGTGCTGCACGCGCATTGCTGATGGGCCAAGCTCCAAGTCCCACTCTTCACGATACACACCAGCGGCACATTCCAAGGCTTGCACCAGCTGCAGCTCATGCCCGGGGGCTTGCGACCTCCGTCCTCTCATCTCGAGCAGCGCATCTTCGGAAAGCAGCCACTTCCAGGGAAGCCACTCCCAATTCTGGATTCCACCTGCTGATGGATGGCTTGAAGTATAAAGTCACTGCTGGCATCGTTGCCGGCGTAATCACTGCCGATGAGTACTTGGACTCAAGCTCCTTCTTCAGTAAAGATCGGTCTGCTGCTTGAATCTTCTGCGTCTGGCTGCCGAGCAACCCGGGCACAGCCAGGGCTTGCGAGGTTGACTTGATTGGGCTGGGCTCCGACATGGGTCGGCACTTGTTCCAAACTGCGCGAAGCTTCCCTGCTACAGGATGGATGTCCCACATGTCTCCTGCTATATCACCCGCGGCTTTGAGCACCGTTAGGAAGTGCTTAAGAAAGCGCTCCAAAGCGGCCGAGTCCAAGAAGGCTTGCCCAAACGTGGATTTGCAGTCGTAGCCCGATGACACCAAGGCATCTATACAGTCGTCTGACAATCCAAACTCCTGCAGGAAGGCCTTCCAAGTCTGCTCAGGCATAAGTGCGCAGCAGCAAAACAAGAAGAACCAAGCAAACTTGCCAACGATGACAGTGAATCTGAAGAGATTCCGAGCACTCACCGGCACATGCCGAACAAGCGAGAGCATATAGCAATCGACCCACCCCATCGAGGGGTAATGGTCCCATCAAGGAACAAGCGCAGACATCTGTCTGAACAATCAAGCTGATGCCACCAACACGCTGCGCACAGACACGAGTCACACGCGTTCTACCAATTCTACCACATCAATGGCAGCAACACAAACCCACCCATCAGGGTTGGCACGAGGCACTCAGGCCTTCCCCCCCCCCCCCCCGGCAGCCGACCGGTCGGGGTAACAGCACACCTCAGGCACTCGGGCCCGCCAAACAACCAGAATGGCTGCATGCCGCAAAGCCGTGAAACCAAAAGTTGACCTTCCAATGTTCGTAACGGTTATTCAAAGTCGAAGCCGGTCTGCACGCCAGTGTCCAACAATCACGCTCTGCGCTCCACAGTGCCTTGTGCACGCAGCCTGAGACTGTGTTGAGGCCCCGCGAAAGCCTCTAGCTCTTGTAGGAGGACACCGGCTTCCTCGTCTTCTTGCTGCTCTCCATCATCGCTGGAGGCAGCAGAATCGGAATCCCAGTCCAGTTCATGCGCTGTGCTGTCTATCTCCTTGTCGGAGTCAGAGGACGACTCTTCCTCTGTCGAGGCCTTATGGCAATCAGCCGTCTCGAGAGGACCTCATCAACATGCCCGGTACCTCTGTGTAGAGGCACACTCGGTCTCCACCCACTCTTGAGCGCAGAAAGAACTTTGCATTGGCAACGCAGTTGCGGTGTCACGTCGTCTCTGCCATAGCGTTGAACACAGTGAGATGCTTTATGAGACCGATGATGCCCTTGCGCTGACCTCAACATTTCGCTAATCCCCAGCTGGCACGCCCAGGACAAAAGTGTGGTCTTTAAGGAATGCAGCGAGAATAAGCAGGCGACAGACTTGCTCAGACCCGCATGCGCTACCAAGCAACGACGAAAGTGGCCCAGCATCCCACAGTAGCCTAGCGGGTGTCCGCGAAAGTCAAGCAGGAAGTCACGCTCAGGGCAAGCTCGACGCAGTTGGCTTTTGGCCTCGTAGAGGAACCTCGTCCACTTCTGGCTCTGCAGGCCGCAGGACGTGACGGCCCATGCCATTCCACGCACGCTGGACTTCGTACGCCAGCACCAGCCCATTAGTGCATCATCTTCCAACACGACCGATTCCAGGGCCAAAGGCTGCACACGGACCACCGCAGACTGCCCCATACCATGACCAATATGGTACACAGCAGCAAGCGGTCTTCGCCGGGCTCTCCAAGCAAGGCAGCTTCTAGCCTCTGGACAACAACAAGAGGCAGCGGTAGCACCTCCTTCACCCGGGACCGGTGCCATTTGTCTGCGTCTTTCCAAGCTCGGACAAGAGGATTCTCCAAAACCTTAGTCAGACTACTGAGCTGGAATTTGAAAGCGGCAAACCCCATAGCGCGTAGCACAGCCAAGGCCGATCGCTTGCGCTGACGACCTGTCCGAAAAGGAACCCTCGGATAGGGCATCGAGGAAGTCCATTATTTGGCATAGCGATGGGGCACCTGGGCGGCAGCCTAGCGTCAGGCAGAACGAGACCCAGCCGCACAGGTGCCTCTTTAGTGTCGACGGCGCACGGTCAAGGAACAACGGCTTGAGTCTCTGAATCTCCAGTCCACTCCGATCATCAAGCAGGCAGCTATCTTCTTGAAGGTTGCTTGCGAATCCCATCCACAGAATGGCAAGCCGATCACGTTCCAAATCCTCTTTGGCTTTGAGACTGCAACTCGCTATCGCAGACGCACGCAGCGCAGAGGTAGGCACCGAGTTGGAAGCCCCTTCTTTAACGCACAGCCTTGCACATTTGCGCTACCTGCAGAAACAGCGGCACAGGCAACAACTTCCGCCGGCCCACGCAAAGAGGAGACACGGTGTTGCGCAGGGAGTGGAAATTCCGTGTCGGGGCGGAGACCTGACGTAGCACGCACCCGTTTGGCTGGCCTGTCAACCTCGGCGGCGGCCGCCGCCAGCTTGCGAACAATTGGCACAATCATGATCAGCTGCAACGGCAAAGGAAGAGCAGAGAGCAACACGAGCAAGGCACGCGACACTGCAAAGTGAAGAGAGCAGCTCAAAACCAAACACATGCAGCCAAGCGAAGCTGCACACTGAGGCATGCAAGTGATTCGGTTCCTGCGCTACATAGGGTTTGTGGCACGCGCTGGCCTTAAACCCAACCCACCCCAGTGCGACCCGTCCAAGCATTGCATTCACTCCTGGATTGCGGTGCAGACACCGACATCAAGTCTAAGCAAGGTGATAAACTCACCTGCTTGGGAAGATTTCGGGCGGCATCACATGTAATTTCACCACTACAGTCGCGAAGAGGTGCAAAGGGCTTCAGGAAAGCAGCAAGAGCTACGATAGATACGAAAGATCCATCTACAATCCCTTGCGCTCGCCACATCTCTCCTGCGTGAGCAAGCAGGATCAGCATGAATCCCTCCTTCTGGAATGCGCAAACGCGGAGGTTGACGGCGGGCTTGTCGAGTCTACGCCGTGCCTACCACACAGCATGGTCTTGCAGACTGTGCTCTGGCGTGCAGCAGCATCAAGACTCTGATCGGCATTCGTAGCGCGAGCTCTCGCATCAGTCCCAGTGCATAGGTCTGACAACTGTCTGCTGCAACATGTACCCCACTCCAGTACGGTTCTTGCTTTGCTCTGCAACTTTCCTGGCATTCTCTCTCGGAGTGCTGTCAAACCCGGCTCGGCCGAAGAAGGCAAAAGGGGTTTCTCCCGGCTGCATGCCCACAGTTTCAGAACCCGCCGTGAAGAGACCAATCAGCGTAAGATCTGTGCCACAATAGAACCAGCTGTAATGGGCTGTGTTGGCTGCGGTTGGAGCTACAGCAGGCCCTGGCATGCCTTGTGTCACAAACTCCGAAACAATGCGGTCACAGGCCAGATTTTGCAGTGTTTCGAAAACCCGAGGTGTAAGGCAGCTGGGCAGCTACCATCCCCCTACATAAAGTCAATACCACAGAAGGCTGCATCTGCCACAGACGCTGATTCTGTTTCAAACACGCTTGAAGTTCAGAGAGCGGGACCTGCTATACCCAAAGCAGACTTGAGCAAATTACTAGGCGGCAGACTCCAGTGATAAGAAAGCAGACTGGCCATTGAGCCCTGCTGCTGTAGCATCAACTCTGCTCCTGGATCTCCCGGAGCAACAGCAGAAGCAGCGGTGGCAACACGAGCATCAAGGATGTCGGACAGGTAGCTCGCGCTAATAACATTCGTTCCAGGCACGGCAAGAGACGAAGCTTTCGGCGGCGTTCCGCCCAGTGAAACTGCGGTTATAATACTGGCACCACACGCATTTGCAAATTGAACGCGTCCATCTGGGTACACTGGCGGCGGTGGCGGAGGACAGAGTAGCGTAGCCGGAGCGGTTGCTTCCTAGTTGCCAGTTGGCCCTCCCCCTCAGTGGGTAAGACCTGAATCTGCGGTGCATTTTGCGCAGTTGCTTGAATCTACTGGCACTCAAGTGAGATGGATGCAGCAAAGCGCTCAGCATGCTGGTTGCATCGAAGGTTCTGGAATGCGAGTCACCGCGACACCTGCGCCAGACCTGTTGTGACTACTGAGTCTGTGCCGGCAGCTTCCACTGTTCCTCTTCGTCTTCCTGCTCCCCCTCCCCCTGTTTCTCCCTCTCATCCACTGCATATCTAGATGTCGCTGACGAAGAACTGACAGCACCGCTGACTTGATCCGCCCGGGCTTGACTAGACTGGGTCATGCTTCGATGATCTCTCCGTCTCTCAAGCGGGGGGCGGTCATCCGTACGCCTATGCCTCCTAGGAGGCGATCGACTTCTGCTACGAGGCATGCTGTCACAGAGCTCGCAGCCAAAAAACTTCACTGACATAGAGACATACAGACACAATGCAAGGCCTTCACTTCAGCGGAGCGGACAACTCAGAAGTGCAAAACTGGAACTCAGTCCACTGAACGCATCGCAGACTATTCTTTCAGCACTTACCGTAGCTGCATCTGGGTGAAACCACGCTCTGCATACAACTCTCGCAGCACTTGCGCGGCCAAGAATACTTCTCAATGAGCGCCTTTCGAGAATAGAATCCTCGTATCTGCATTGATCCAGCGCTGTTGTAATGTCGAATCTGCCAAGGGGACGTCGGTTGTTGATACAGCACTGTTTCGATTTCGCACGCAGATCTGGAATCCTAGAAAGGAATGATCAGTTACTTCTTCAGGCTCAATCGAAGCACCGCAAAAACCAGAAGGCAAAAACTCACCCATCGCTCTACACCCGTGGACCGCATAACACCAGCCGATTGTCGACGTATCGGCACATGAAAAGATGATGCACTTGTGAACCTTGCGTAACTGGAGTCGCAAAGAATGCTTCCACATGCGCTCTCGCAAGATAACTGGCAAGCTCGACAATACTGGCGAAATTTGGTTTCCTATGCGCGTGCCTCGAGTCTGCTGAAAACATTTGTGGAAAAGAGAGCTGCGCGATGGATACCAGGTGCTGCACTTCAAGAGTGCGAAGGCTTCTCGATCTACCTCCCCTTGTTGTGCCGAAGCAGTGCTCTTGGGAAGATAACGGTGAAGATACTAACACCAGTGTCCTGGTCCTGTTGGTAGTCTCGAATGAGCATCTGTAGCGCAGAAACGATCATCTCTCGAGGAACACTATTACAGAAGCCTATCAAATCATCATTGAACTCAAAAAGCGCAACCGAAGACGGCATGTCCATAAGACACTGATGAATCTGACGCCAAATTTCCGGAAGGCTCGAATCAAGTCCTTTCCAAACAGTACGAAGCATGAGCTGGATCGAATAAGCAGCGCCAGCTAGCAGCCTGCGAAGCGGAGCATGCAGATACGACATGATATTGCATCCCTTTCGGAACATCTTCTTCCTCTTCAAGACGAAGCCGACAGGCAGGCTTCCAGATGCATCAACTCCCCACGGGTACCGACTTTTCAGCTGCTTCGGAATCGTTCCAACACCCATGTCTTCAGAGCAGCAGCATCCATGTTGAGTTCCTGTAAGACAAGCGGATCCGCCCAAGTGCGACTCACACTGGCAAACTAAAATGGAGGGCAGGCAGAAAGCCATGAGGTGATTGGGGTGATGATCTTCGCAGTGCACAGCCAAATCTTGCAAAGCCTTCTTGCAATTCTGAACTCGCTCCCAATCCAAACGACGCTCTCGCAACACACACATCTCATGCGTGTTTTACTGCTCTTGCAAGACTGTGCTATCAAAAGACTGCGAAATTGCTGCAGGATACCCATGCATGCTCCTCCATTTGTCAAAACGCACAAATGCATGAGCAAAGAACTTGGTTTGGGAAGGAAAGAACGTGGACTTCGCGCTACCTTGTCCAAGGTACCACAAGTCCTAAGTCCTGATGCGGTGATTCAAGCTGCTCAAAGCCGGCTGCTAAATGTCCATCAACAAAGCATTGCTCTGGAAGCAGCAGACTGGAGCACTTGCACGGAAGATTCGACTCATCATGCTGCAACAAAAACTTGTCCCAAATGGGGACATTGTGCAAAAGGTCGTTACATGATTGCATTGCAGCTTCTCGGACACGCGTACTTGGCAGATGATGGCAGATGAAGTGGCACAAGAAGAGGCCAAAATTGAAGCACCAGTGCTTTAAGCCATCGATCCACTGAAAACGAGAAAGAAGCATGCGACAAAAACGGCAAAGACAAACTTGCTTGGTGGCAGGGCCAAGTCATCTTGCGATACTGCACGACTTTCTTGAGCATATTTCTAAGACGTGTGTTCAGAGGCTCTTCGAGACACAGGCCCAAGCGAACAATGGCATACGCATCCACCAATCGTTGACTGCGGGTAATTACACGCGTGAAACTGGAGAGATCATACAGGATCTCCAATGCTTGACGTCTCTAAACTGCACACTCAAATGGCTGGACGCTGTGGAAGAGTCTCTTGCGCAACTTCCTCCAGAGTCTACGCCCAAAACGAGAAAAGGATGCAAGGCGCTGTCGGCGAGCAGGACGAAAACCTAATGCGGTCCGCATCAGAAAGACTTGAAAGTACGGGAAGTTCAGTCTCGGTTGCCATTGGGAAATCAAGACGTGTTCCAATGTCCAGGCAGCTCGATAACTCTCGCAAGAAGCAATCTTAATCAAAGTGAGCCAGAAGCGTATGGCCAGCTCGGCTTGAGCCTCTTGGCCCCGCGACATCCGATCACTGACACGCCTGTAGATCCAATATACATCAATGTGTGGGGCTGGCGGTAACACTCAATTCCAGAACCACATCGGCAATCCACGGCGACTTTGATACATACCGCGAATGGAGCCTCAGCACTTCGGAACATCCGATTGTGCAAGCTTGTCGACATACCTGTGGCGAAAGCTATCATGAGGCATGAGAAACAGCTGAGCATCGATTCGAAAGCAATTGTATGCTCTTTATGAGGCACGGATGTAGTTCCGGCTCCGCGAATTGTCGCCACGAATACTGTAAAGGAGCTAGTCCCATGCATTGTGTTTTTGCATCGTAGACTGTATCCCCATGACTGCAACCGGAAATGAGAAAGCAAAACCCAGGTGTAATAACCCTTGTGACCAAGTAATGTCAGCTTTCGGAAGATGCAGGCACTCATGCTTGAAAAAGGTTAATGCCTGACCTAGCTGGCAGATGTCATGCAGCAGCGCGGTTCTTACAACCGCATGCGAAGGATCCGTTCCCTCCACTTGCAGTGCGAGTCAAGCAGCTTGGTACTTGGCAACAGCAATGCACCTGCTGAGACTAGCGATGCTCAAGCGAGTTGCAAATTTGCGATCAAGGCCGAACTTGATAGCTGCCTCCACCATCTCATGCTTATCAGCATTTTCAGTCAACAGCTTGACAACGAAGTTCACATGCTTGTTCAGCTCAACAAACTTGCCCTTGTACTGCTGCTTGATCGTTTGCATCCAAGCCTCAACATGCTCGGTGGTAGCACTTTTCGGCCTGTTGTCCTTCAACGAGTTGGTGGCTCTCCCTGACAACAGCTTGCGAACTTGATTCGAAGGGTCACCCTCGTCTGCTTTGCGCTTCTTGTCCCGGTGACTCTCAACAGGCAGATCTCCCGACGACTCGGGCTTTGTTGGACTACCACTGTCAGGCGAAGGGGCTTCAGCATCCCCAGCCGGCTTACGAGGGGTTAGGGTGAGACCGGTTTGCGCAAGCTTAACCTTGGCTCGAATCAACTTGTCAGAATCGGCACTTGACGAGGCAGCTGGCACTTGCACACGGGACTTGACCTCTTTCAAAAGAACATCAACCAACGGCTGCATGAATGCAGAAGCTTTTACCCGTCCTCACAATGGATTGAAAGCGGCCCTCCGACAACATCCTCAAAGAGAACTCACTCAATACTCGAAAGTTCAGCTCATACACTCGAAGATCATCCACTGGTCTTCCCAGCAATCTGTGGTTTCCTAGACCAATCAGTCGATTGAACGACTCGGTAGAACTGATGATTGCCAGACTCCACAGCTGTGGAATCAACGAATTTATCATCACTTGTGAAACTGGCAAGAATAACAGGCCTCGCAGCAGACACTGTAGGGGTGGTGTCGTTGTTAGAACCACACCAGCCTTGGGACGACGAAGGTCACTGCTGCTGCTTCCCTGCTCTAATCACGGATACCTTGATACCTGCTGGACTGGACAACTGAAATGAATCTGAACTCCATGGCGCGATGCTCGACCAGCTAGGCAACTCTCACGCGACTACACTTGAACCCACGTCACAGCAACACTCCAACCCACTTCAAAGCACGTCACTCTGAAGATTCACAAACCAGGCAGTCAGGAACCAATTGCAGTACTCGGTTGGAGACAACAGAAAGCCGGCTTCTACCTGGCTGCTGACGGATTCTCATTCAAGTGCAAACTGTACCAGATCTTCAAACTGAACCACGGCGTTCCGATCAGGGAAATTCAACTGGTCATTGGCATGACCTCCATCCGGGCAATCCCGGAGCAGACAGCGCGCTGAACGAATGCTGGCGGGAGCACACATGTGCAGGTCTCCAAGCCGAGTTTTGAAACATTGAAGCTTGTTGCATGCCTTCTTATATCATCTTCTTACCAGATTTGTGGCTTTGCCTGGTCGCCATGTCTCATTTCATTGATCTGTAACAGCCCCTTCATTGGACTGCCACTGCTACAGATCAGGCAGTCCCCCTGCTTTTAATTCATGCACTCCCGAAAATCCTTGGTTACAGGAGTTACACGCACACAAACATACACGCACTGTCGTTGGGCTTGAGATCTGCTCCAGAATGTCGCCCGCGCCGGGTTTCTAGGCCCCAACATGAACGTGGAATTGAAGGCCTTTTATGGAGAATGGAGGGATTTCGATGCACTGGTGTCGAAAAACATCGAACGCAATCATGCGCAGGCCCCCCGATTCTACATTGTTTGGCGTAAGGCTTTCCGTTGCAAGGTGCAGTGGGAGTGCATAAAGTGGCTACCTTTGCTATCGGCGAAGTCATTCCCTTTGTATTCTTCTACTTCTTTGATTTGTGGTTGGCTTCCCAGCCCTGCCACATGAAAGCTGAGGGCAACAGCCAAGCTGGCCTTGTGCCCTCGGCCCTGGCGCTGCATAGTGCCTGCCAAGGCCGCTCAGCAGAGACTAAAGTCTCGACGAAGTGCGCTTGCAGCCGGTTGGGGGAACACTCAACAGAATCGCAGAGAGCATCCGTCTCAGCAATGTGAAGAAGAAGGTGCCATGCGATCAACTCTCAACACAGATTCAACCTTGCGTGGCGACTGTGATGTCGTGTCTTTCGCACGTCCCGGTACTTGTACTTTTCAGGTGTTTCGGCTTTCGTGTTTGTCTGCGCTTTTCGCACTTTTAATTACTGTTCGGGCTTCCCGACTGACTCTTCGTCTCTATGCGCCTTTTGCCATGTTATGTACTTGTCGTTTTTTTGCTTGTCGACGTGTCGCGTTTTCTTAGTTTTTCGAATTGTTCGGTACTTTTCGGCTTTTCGGGTTTCGCTGCGCTCTTCGACATGTTCAGGCGTTGTTTTTCCAGGCTGATGTGCGGCCGCAAGCCCAGGGCTTGACCGCCGGCAAGTAGGCCAAGAGTTTGGGCTGGATAGGGGCAAGGGCGAGTTGAGCAAATAGCGTCATGTAGGTAGGCCAGCCGCAAACCGAGAAGCAGCCGGCAGTAGTCGCAGTAGTGCTGTCACTTGTCGTGGCACTGGTTTTCAGCAGAATCGAGCTTAATGAAAACATTCTCTGGATTTCAAACCATTTCGGGGTCCGCCCAAACCGCCAATAAGCAGCCAAAACATGAGTATGCCGGCTGAGGTTTCGGTTTAGGCAACTCTTCCAGTGTGCTCTTCGAATGCTGTTTTTTTTGAGCACCTTTTTCCGTCCGCCTAAGAAGTTTTAGGAATCAGGAATTCGCTTCGCGAAAGGCTAGGTTGGACCCTCAGAACTTCACGTCGTGGACTCTGCAACTTCTTCCGGCTTCTGCCCTGACCCTGCAGCCCCGCGGTTCTCCAGATCCAGCTGCGTCATATGGTGTTTAACAGTTTGGGTTTTTTCGACGAAGACGAAAGTAGCAAAACCACGTGCAATGGTGGCCTGTTGTTCACGTCTGAGGAGCCGCCCCAGGCGCGGATTTCAAGTCATGACGTGTTTTCGATTTGTCAAATCGCCCAGACATAGCAGAAACATAAGTAGCTTTCTATTGCTCAGTTTTGTGATACTTCGGCTACCTCTCAAAATGTCGGTGATGTAAACAACTTTCAATGAGTTCTGAGCATATCGTGTGTTCGCAACAGAACGAGTGACCAGGCACTTCGACCTGTTGTTCCTCGAAACACAGAACGAGACCATAGGTATTTTTCATGTTTCTGGCTTGAGGAACATTAAATGGCAACAGTCACTGATTTTTGAACATCTCGTGGTTCCGACAGCATTTCTGCCTATTTGTCAGGTCTGGGAACTACCCAATCGCAAATCTTGCTGGGTTTGAAACCATCTGTCACGGTTCATCCAACGGCTAATAAATACCCGAAACATAAACATGTTTGAGCGGGCCGTGTCATCCGGTCAAGCGAACTCCCCAGAAGCCCTGTTTCAGTGATGTTCGACCAGACTTGTTGAGTTTTCGCCTTCTACGGTGGTCATACGTTTTGCACGTCCTCGAAAGTTCTCGATATGTGCTCGTTGACTCTTCGCTGTTCTTCGACTTGTTGACTGTTGGCTGTACTTTGGGACTTTTCGCGTGTTGCTGTACTTTTCAGCGTTTCGCTGCTTTTCGACGTTTCGGGCTTTCTGGCTCTTGGTGTAAAATCTTGATCCAATGCCAATACAACTTTTCTACATTTCCGCTTTTCGCGTGCCGTTTGGCAGTATCTGCACCGACGGCCATCGCAAACGCAGAACACCTGAGCATGCTGGGAAGCTCTTAGTCGAACACATGTGAACAGAGCGATAGCCACGAATCAGTCGACAGGTCTACGTCGACCTCCGCGAGACAAGGCCCGCAGCAGCGAAAGTCCTCCCGCCTACACTGTGCAATGCTCGTAGCAGACTATGTGGCTATGTAAGACTAGCATGAGCAGCTGTTTACCTTCTTTGGGAGGCGAATGCTTGCAGGTGTCGGAATTGCAGCCAATGCCGGCCAGTGATGCAGGAAACGGAAGTGGCCAGTGCTCCAGCACGAAGAAGCGCTCACACCCGCTCTCGTGGCTCTGACTAGTAACCCCTCGTGATGGCATGCTGCAGATTGTCTCATAGCCTTGGCAGTAGCGCCTGAAAGCCAATCAGGTCAAGTTACATCGATCCTCCGGACGATCGATCAAACATTGGAAGTGCCACGATCAGCTGTCGAGAGACGTTTACGAAAGCCTTTGTGAGATGCGCCGCGGCGTTCGGGATTTTTCGTGGTCGGTCCGAAAGACATTTAACTTGACATCATCTAACAACACCGGCGTGTCGAAGATGCTTCGAGCCTGCGCAAGCTCCGCAGAAGCCTCCTTGCAGGGCAATGGATGGCATTGGGATCTTTCGAGTCAGCCAGTAATGCAGCCTGGAGCAATTGCTGTTTCGAGTGCTACATGATCGCTTGCTGATCCAGTGCAGTTCACACACGCTGAGCGGTTGCGCCTCACTTTCGCTGGCTTCAATCAAAGCCTGCACTTATGTACACAAAGCTGCTTGTCGACTTTGGGTTGTGGGGAAAGCGCCTAAAGCGGAAAGCACGAGTCGGAACCGGGAGGCGAGAGTTTAACTCTATTTCTCTGCGGGTTTCCGTTTCCGACTCGGCAGGGCTCCTGCCGGCCTCGCTTGGACAGCCCCCCTGTCAAACCTGGCTTTGATTGAACCCAAAACCTGGCTTTAAACACCCAACAATCACGCAAAGCCTAAAGCCGTCGCATCCGAGCGCCTCCAGCTCATGCACCTTCCTCAAGATGTGTTCCGCCTCCTGCAGACGAGCAGACCCTGGACGTGCATCGGTTACATACAGCTGCAGCCCGGGTCCTGCAACTTGTTGCTAAGGCGCGCTGCATTTAGGGCGGCCTTTACATCAGCCAAGACTTGGCGCAAAGTCCTGTGGATGGCATGACATCCGTGACTTACGAAGCACTGCTGTCTACTGAGTCTTCTATGTGTGCAAGGCTCAGGAGCGAAATCAGGGTCCGAATTCTACTTACGCATCAGATCTTGCAGACCCAGCAGCAAGCTGCAACGACACGTCTTGTTCTACCAGCGAAAATCCAATAGCAGAATCCTCAAGGCATTCCCGAATTCAACAAATGCTCCAGGATGCCCAAGACTTACATGGTTGATGTTTGGCTGATCAGGTATGATAAGTAGACCCGGCCGCTGACTTCGATCTGTCTTCTTAGGAGACTCACCACAAGAATGCAGCGCCAACATGTCCTGGTGTCAATGCGCCTTTCACCCGAGTCCGCCTGCAGAACGAAAACAACTGGCGAAGGCGCGGACCCAGAACGTGGCAAAGCTTAGCAATTTCTGGGCGAGGGATTCCGCAGCCCTTGACAAGACCTCCCCAGGCCGAAGTTGCGTATTTTGCAGCAAGCGGCAAGCAGCATCCCTGTCGTGGGCTTGGCCCTGCTCGGTACGCGCAAGTCCGTATTTACGTATGTATTTTTATTCCGTGTATATATATATATACATATACATATACATATACATATACATATACATATGCTGAAGTACATTTTCATATGTATACTGCATACACGCAATATTTGGAGGGGCTTGGTTGCGTGAATCCTCGAAGGAAACAGGGAAATGTGTCGAT